TTTATTTATTTGTTTTCTGAGAAGTAGGATTTTGCTTCCAGTATTATTTTCTTCTTTTCTTTAGCTGAGAAAGTGATCCATGTTCTATAATGCATTGAGATTTTTTTTTAATCAAGACTAACAAATTTACGTAAGAACTAGTTCATAAACCTGAGGGGGGGGCAGATAATTTGCATTTTAATATGTATAAAAATCATCCAGTGATGCAAACGTTTCTAGTAAGTAAAAAATGAAGAATATTAAGGCATGCCATTAAACCTACATTCAAAAACATTTTCTACAAGAAAACTCTTTTTTTGCCACTTATATAAGGCTGATGACTTGGCCACAAATTTCATTACCCAGAACAACAATATTTTCATTCACTTAGTATTATATAACATTAGAAAACTATCGAATGTAATCATCTGAAGCTTGGCAGAATTTATCTTCTCTGAAAAGTTGACTATGCTTAAAATTATTTCTAATTGTGCCATTTTTAAAAAATGATATTAACACTTGCGTTTAAAAGGAAAATAAATGTTTCATGTTCAACTCAGTATATATCATCTTCTCATGTGATGCTATGATTCCTGCAAATTTAGTTCCATTTCAAATTACCTTTAATGGAAAGTGGACTAAAAGCTGACTAGTTTTATTTTTGGTCACACAGAGGGAAAAAACAACAACTTGCCACTTTTCCACAGTTATAATTAATGGAGAAACACGGAGGTTTGAGGATTCACATCAAGTTTAAGATTTAAGCCTAAGTCTCTCATATTTCCTAGGGCAGTGGTCCCCAACCAGGGACCCGTTCTGTGGAGAGAGGTTTTTCTGCAGACCGGAAGGGGCGTGGTTTTATGTGCTGCCTGCATCCCGCGAATGGGGCTTCGCTTGTTTACGTGGCCCAGTTTCTCGCATGTCACAGACTGGTGCCGGTTCACAGACCGAGGGTTGGGGACCCCTGTCCTAGGGCCATCGCAGATTGAAAGCAGTCAGCTTGGGGTAGATCCTGTGACTGGATTCTTTGGACACAAGGAGGATAACTTAAGTGTCAGGGACAGAATAGACCAGGCTGGACATGCCTTCTGGTTTATAAGTGAGTTCTGTTGAGAGAGATCTGTAGAGAATTCAGCAGTTTCTTCATCAAGGGGCAGAGTATAGCTGGCAGAACCTCTCCCTCCTGGAGGACATCCTTGTTATTGTCGTTTTTGGCGATAACAATGTTCAGCCTCCTTTACATCATGGTTTCCTGAGAGACATTGCCCTGTGGTTTCTCCCCATCCCTGTCTTTCTTTCCTGCTCTTCTCTTGCACCCTTCAGCAGAAGAAGGCCCTGAGGCCCTGAGCAAAGCTCTGCCTACCCTGTGGTTTCCTCCATCCCGACATCCTCTGGTGATGGGCTACAATCTCAAGCATTGTTAAAGAACTCAAGATTGGGGAAGAGATCATCTGAAGACATTTGAATGAACAATTAAGCATGCTTGATGAAGCATGCTTATTAATGTCCTTATCAAAAGAGTACCAGTAAATTAATTTGAAAAGCTATTGGCCCCAGTGCAACATATAGCTAGTGAAGATGACGCCCACAGTTTGGTAAGCTCCTTGAAAGAGGAATCATAGCATTTGGATAGTCCTGAGCAGCTACATTGGTAAAGCAGAATATTACAGTACAGCCATTAGTCTGATAAGTATTTTCTGTAGATACAAATTTTAAAGTGTCTGCTTCTGCATATTTCATGGATATAAGCAAACAGCATCAGAGTCACCTTCCATGTGTAACATTTACTTGTCAAACAGGAAGGCTAAGTTGCCTTTGTTGTCATAGAGTACTTTGTAAAGTAAGCCATTAGAGCTGAAAAAGATATGATTACCCCAAAACTTCACCTTTTGTCTAGAATTTCAGTTCTACTCTCCCAGGTTTAAATTTAACTGACTTTCCTTTGGAATAAAGTAACTTCTGAAAATTGTTTTGAATTTGAAAACTGTTCCATAAATATTAAGTCAGGTGATGACTTCAGACTATTTAATGGAAGCATTTACATTCCAGTCTTGTTTTACCACAGTAAGGCTTTCTTCCGTGGAACAGAAGATGTTTTAAGCAGTTTTGGCCCATCTGGAGCTCAGCATATATTTTAGATCTTATACTTCTCAGAATTCTCTGACATCAATATAAATCAATATAAATATGACCAGATACATTTACTACTGCACTAAACTGAATTATTAACTACACTTACAATTAATATTGTAAACATTATTTGATTGCATGAAGAAGTTAGAATATCTGGTTACTGTCCAGGGATTATCTTTCTTTCTTTTGTTTAGCATCACTAAAGCAATTCTTTGGCATAACCTGAATATTGCCAATTCTGAAATAAGCTTCTTTGAGTCCACTTAACCCACAATATGTAAGAATAGAGTTATGTCTTGGTATAGGAAGAGCGTGAAAATTGCTGTTATGTTTAGGAGATGATGAAAAGCTAGATGATTTGAGTAATACAGTATACAATTTCATTGAGTAAAAAGCAGCATTACTTTCGATACGTAATCAGCATTCTCTCAGCTAGAGTAAGCAGATGCACAGTAAAATATAGAATTAATCATTTCTTCCTGGGGAAAATGTGTTGTATTCTTATATAATCATTGATTTCAGAAATGGGAAATAAAACACTGGAATCCTAAAATTATGAGTTGGAGACAGCCTTGTTGACCATCTAAGCCAATTGTCAACTTGACATTGAAGTAGAAGAACATCATTAACAAAATGGCTTTTCTTTAAACAGAATCAAAACTGGATACCAACAAAGATGCCACACTAATATGGCATTAGTCTCTAATATGTAAAAGAAGAATGTATTTGTTACATTAATTTAGATGCCATTGCCCTTCCAGAGACTCTGAGCAGTTTAATCAGTTCATACAGTATAGAGAGAAAAGCTTTTGCCCACCTAGTTGGAAATCATAGATTCAGCTTTGGAGCCAATTCATTCAAAGAGGAAAGAAACGATAAGAAAACAATATGAGACAACTCACAATTATTTTGTTCAAACAGTGTATTAGGTAAGAAATTTCTTTTTCTTTTAAGAAAGAACAAGCATACAAGCTCCCAAATCAAAACATTCCACGAACATTTCTTCATTTAGAAGTTGATCCTACTGATTTGACACAACGTCAGAAATGTTGCTAGTGACCATGAAAGGCCAGACATACTGTATGCAATTAAATTAGTTAAATTAAAGATGAACAAGACATTTCAAGTGCCAAGGCTTCTCCAAACTTTTTTCCCCCTATAGTCCAACAATTTTTATACACATTTCAAAGTTCGAAGTTTGATTCCCAATATGATTGCTGTTTTTGGAAAACATATAAAACTCACATAAAAGTTCAGATGTAATGCTTTGCACATTACATCTACCTGGGTAAAGCTTCATTCTTTTTCTAACAACCATAGCCAAGGTTTATTTAAAGAACAACAGTGACAGGGTTCACATATCATGCTAAACCATATGATAGTTTATTAGATTTTAATTTAGCATATTATGTGAATCAAGTCACTGTATCTTCTAAACTATGGTTAATGGATTTCCACTATTATGCCTTACTCAACAAATTATTGATTAGGGTACATAACTGTTTTGTTTGAGAATTGGATAGTAGTGCCAGTTATTCCCTGTGATTTTTTCCTATTTTTAAAGTTTGACCTCAAGTTTGTAAGGCTAAGCTATTTCATAGCAATGGTTTTTAAAATTGACTGCTTAAAGTGACTAGCAATATAAGAGGAAACTGAAATAATGGAAAGGAAGATCATTTTTAATTGGGTGTATATCACAGATTGTACCTCCAAACTAGCCTCTACAAACCTGGTGCGTATAGTTCAGTATGAATTCTGGAAGTTTTAGTCTAGCATGGGTGGAGAGCACTAGATTGGGGAAGGCTGTGTATAGACCTGTGCAAATGTAAGCGATATCCAAAGTTGAGTTAAAGTACCTAAATATTCAGGTGAGCATATAATGTTGTGTTCCAAGAAACCTAGTTTCCTATTCCCTGAAGGTAGGAGTATCTGCTGAACCAGAATGAATTTTAGTAAGTCACTTTGTGCCCTGTTTTCTACAGTTCTCTGAAGAAGAATGGAAGACAGCTGCATGTCACTGTAACTCAGAGAAAAAAGAAATTTTGGAAGCTAATATTTATTCATGGAAAAACAGTTTTAGAAATTGTTACTCTAATAACTATATAAAGCCTCCATACATCAACCTGATTACTGGATGCTGCAGGGAGGAATGTTAAGTATGTTCATCAACTTAAAGCCCATCTTTTTAATTTCCAAGAGTCATCTGGATGTCTGCTATAAGAAAAAAGAATGCTGACTGGATAGCTTTGGCTTTATTTGTATTCTTTTATACCAACATTTTTAAATCTTGGTGCAAAATCTCTCTCTCTCTCTCTCTCTCTCTCTCTCTCTCTCTCTCTCTCTCTCTCTCTCTCTCTCTCTCTCTCTCTNATATATATATATGATTAAGATAGTGAGGAAAATAACAGAAAAATGCAACAGGCATTTGTTGAGCTACCATTAGAGACAAAAACTGGTTGAGATAAATCCTTGGCCTGATTGAGCAGCATACTTCGGATATTCTGAAACCATGGGGGAGAGGGGAGGCGTATAAAGATGGTTGGCTCTATCAAAGCATGCCCCCACTTCCATCATCCTATCTCTTCAGATTTGCTTTTAAGAGGCTCATGGGTGAGGTACGATAATGCCCAAGGTTCTCAACATTGATGTAAGAAAAAGAAACAGTTCAGTATAAAACAGGTTCCCACATCCTCCCCACACTTGAAAAGTTTCCCAAATAACAATTACTCTTTTTAAAAAAAACAAAACAAAACAAAGAATAAAAGAAACAAAGAGCATAAAAATATCTGTGAGACTTCAGTTCACTCTACAGGCTTCCAAAGAGAACAGCCAGAGATTCTACTCTGTACTATACAGAGCTTCTATATAGAGATATTTATATAGTTTTTATATATACTGTTTTCAAAAGAGCCGAGCCTGCTTCTTCAACTCATTTCTTTTCCACAAAGCCAGGCGATCAAATTCAGCAATAGTCATGCCAAACACCTGGTAAAATTCCTCTGGAGACAGATGGCGCTGGAAAGAGAACAGGGAAGTGTGACGTTATACAAGTGTGGCTAATGTACATGTGTGACAACAGGCACCTGATTTGAAAGATATGTAAGCTCTGAGCAACATTCAGTTTACACTGTATCTTCAGGCTCTACATTTGAGGCTGCACGTAGACATGACCCTTCTTTCATAGTAATCTGTTTGATTTTCTGGAGTTTGTAGCACAATTATTCACACAATTCCTTTTAGTGGTTTATTGAAAGAGGTTTCATACCAAAGGTGGGCCTTGATGAATTTGGAGATTTAAATATCTGAGTCACTCACCCCAGTCTCTCTTCCAGCCCATTATCACCTACCTGTTCCAATTCCCCATGAGCACATCTAGACATGCAAGGAAGCATTGGGTGTGCTTGCATGTGTTTTTCTTTATGTATTTTTATTTTTCTCTACAAAATACTTCTAGACTCAAAGTAGTGTATCTTCCTCCTCCTCCTCCTCCTCCTGCTGTTATAATATTAACATTTCTGTAACACACAAGATTGTATACTCACAACTTTGGTATTCAGGAATAAAATGGAGGAGGAAGGGGTGATAAATAAGCCCAAAGCTTCTAGGAGCAGAAGCAGTCGGGAATATCCACATTTTTGATGATTTATATTTTTGTTTTAGGTTTTTCTCTCCAAGTATTTCTTACCATTTCTTTACTTAGAACAAAATTGACAAAAAGAAGGCCAACTCTAAGCTGATTATTAAAGAAATATAAATTATATTTTTTGCATCCACTGGGAAATTATCAGGATGAACCATAAAACTGTAGATCAAAAGGTCCATCTGAAAACAACCTGAGTCTTAATTACCTGCAGACAAGAAAAATATGTTGCAAGGACCATTGATTTGCCTTGTGTTCCACAAATGAGGAAAGAAATTGATTAGAAAGAATATTCTATCAAGCTCTAGAGAAATTAGGAGATTCAAGCAGTTCAAATGAGTATAAAGATTTATTGCAAACTTAAGCTCTCTACAAGAATCTGAGCTACTAAGGCTCAAGGGAAATTGGCAGGAGTTAAGACGGCATTCAAAGTGGGCTGGACTTAGATCTCTTGTTGGCATGCAGGGACTCATGACTGATGGTGCATTTGACCCCCTCCCTCAGTCTCAGCCTGGTTTTCTCCTACACATTTATGATGCAAGGCAACTATGAGAACAGTGTAAAGGCAGGGAATCTTTTGATTGCTATTGCTGGCATCTAAGGTGGCAGGGAAGGAAGAAAACTGCAGTGGACAAGACAATGGTGCAAAGTGGCTCAAGCCACGGCACTCTTATAGAAAGCACAGAAATTTTTATTTTCCTTTCAGTTTATTTTCCGTTCAGTATTTTCCCCTTTCTTGATTAGCTCTGTCTGTCTATCATTAAAAAAAAATCAAGAAGGTCATAGTAAGCTACCTTTTATTGTTGCCAAAAGAACTAGATTAATATATTTACAAAACCCCCATCAAGAATCAGACTCAACTTGAAGGAAAAATTTTAAGCAGCTGTATATTACTGTTGTATGGCTTACTAAGAACATGTAAGGAAGGAAAATATTTTTCCAGCTCCCAGTTTGAGTAAAGTACTTCTTTTCTAAGGGATTTCTATGAATTGGGGATTTACCAAATGCAGCAAATTTGCTGCCTTTTATAGTAGATCTCCATGACACCAAAAAACCCAAGGTTGAGAAGAATGGAAAGATTCAGTTTCAGAGGTTCCAGAAGTACTTGGAGGTTTCCAGATGCTGGGTTTGACTTACTTCTAACCGAGTTCTGTCCACATCTTTGGGCAAGCGATTTTTCCCCCTGGTTGTCACCAAAAGCAACTCATAAGGGTATATCTGCAAAAGAAGGAGGGGGAAATGATCAAAGAATCAGAAAAATAAGAATTAGCTGAATATAGTTTTGAAAAAATGTGTAACATGTATGGGAGCTTCCACACCAGCATTTTGCATCATTTTAGGATTAGCCCTGGATCTGATTGATCTCACAATATTTTCTATTTTGGGAAGTGAGTTTATTTATTTTTGACTCTGTTCCAGCTTATTAGAAATCACAGCAATGCTGCTATTTCCTACCTACTGAAATGCAGCAGCTCTGTCAATTTTGTAAGTAGTCCATTTTCCTTTTGGGGAAAATACTTGTCATACTGCTTTCTAGCGCCTAGCCATAAGTTCTGTCCATACAGATTTAGCATCCCGTTTGGTTAGTGTCATATGTTCTGTTGGAAAGGTTGCAAAATTGCTAGCATATTTCACATTTCATTTACAAATTTAGATGGGTTTTTAATTGTCACAGAGGAATGGTGGAAGGTGCTCAGGAAGCCTTTACAGGGAAAGAGCATTTAAAACTGACACGAGAGGACTTCCGGTTTGCTATCACGGCCACCGCAGCTGCTGGAAGGCGAGCTCCATCTTCCACGTTTGATTTCATTCCGCTGGTGGACCCTGGAAAGGGTCGAAAGTCACCCTGTAGGGGCGACGAGCAAGAAAGAGACCCCCCCACTTGATCGTGGGAGGGCGGCAGCCCTCCCGCTCAATCCGAGGAAGCCCTCCAAACCGGCGGAGGAAAGATCGGCCATAGCAATATGGCTCATCACTAAGCTGCAGACAGCCGAAGTCAAACTTACCATCAAGCACTTCTAAAGCAACGCGGATGAAACTGGGTGAGATCCGATCTTCTCTTTAAGATCCTAAGTATTTTCTTTTCCTGTAAAAGCTGCCCAAAGTATCTTTTCCCCATGAGGAGAGAGGGAAGGGAATTTCTACCCCACCCTCTAAGAACAGTGGCGAGTGACTACCCAGGGGAGTTAAAGCACTAAAAGAACAATTTTAATCTAATTGGATTTATGTGTTTCTGAAACTTGGGGACCAAAAGTTTTCTCCAGTATTTTTACTGGAGACTTTTGTTTTTATCTACAAAAAAGAAATTAAACTGGAAAAAGGATTATAAAAATTTTGGACTTAAAAAACTTTAAACGGCATCGGTGACATCTTGTGGTGACATTTGGTATTACAACTTGTTATTGCCTAAAAGAGACTTGGCTTGAAGCCCAGACTTCAGATAAAATTCTTTTGACCTTGATAGATACCACCTGTGAGAAACTCAGCTGTAAATAGAACTTCTGGGCAGCATAACTGGCCTGCTTGAACTATGAATGTAAACCTTTACTGACTTTCAGAGCTATATGTGGGAAATTGCTTTCCTATTTCTTTATCTGAGGAACATTGGTTATTATATGAGATGATGAAATACCTTGGACTATAAAATCTTACTTGACAAATGACTTCTACTATAAACACTACCTATAAACATGTAAAATAGAGGTCCCATACCTAGTTATAAAATTATTTTTAACGTCTGATTTTAATATCCTCAACTTAACACACTATTAAAAGAATATGGATGAAGACCAGGAAAGGATCCTTTCCATGTTGAAAGCAATACATGAAACCAGTTCTTTCAGCTTGTGACAAAATAAGATGCAACATAAAAGAACAAGATGCCAGCTTAGATATACATACCCAAATTTTGACTACAACCAAAGAACTAGCAACACAAAAGATAACAGAAGAAGTGGAACAATCAAATACTAAGATTCAACAAATACAGTTAATGGAAAATCCAGAAAAGGGAGTGACAACACTGAAAATGGAAAAGACTTTCTATATAAATCAGAAGATATTTGAGGAGAAAGAAGAAGAACAGATTGAATGGAAGATAAACATATCAGGACAATCATGGGGAATTGGAATAATAGGGAGACAATCTAATGAACACAAATGGGCTAGCCCTTCTCAAAAAATGGCAACTAAATGGTCTCTCTTATTTCAAATAATATATATAATAATAAAGGGAGATCTATTTGATGATTTAAAAGCACTGACATGGAAGGCTAGTTGGCAAAGGAAGAAAGCCAGAATAAGGCTGAAGAAAATTGGGGTTTTGATTTATTAGAGGGGATTTCATATTACTAATTAGAGGGTTAAAGAGAGAAGTTGAGATAAGGGGAATTTTGGTCATTAAATTTAAAATATTTGGAAATTAGTTAAAAATAAGGATTCTATTTGTTTAATATTTAATTAGACCCAAAATATGATTCTGGCAACTCACAATTTAAAGCATGCCATAAGAGAAGTACAAGAATATTTTTGGAAAATATTGCTGCTTTCTCTGATTACAACACAGTGATCCTATTCAGTGTAACACTGATATTTACAGTTTCTGTTTACTCAGAATAGCAGCAGCACAAGTGATGCCATAATGATAACAAATAACAGAGCTGGAACGGACCTTGGAAGTCCCCAACCCCCAGTCCGTGGACCGGTACTGGGCTGCAGCATGCCAGCAACCGGTCCACACAAACAAGCAAAGCCCCACCCGCGGGATGCAGGCAGCACACAAAACCATGCACCTTCTGGTCCGTGGAAAAACCTCTCCACGGAACCGGTCCCTGGTGCCCAAAAGGTTGGGGACCTCTGTTCTAGTCCAACCCCCTGTTCAAACAGGAGACCTATACCATTTCAGACAAATGGTTGTCCAATCTCTTCTTAAAAACCTCCAGTGTTGGAGTACCCACAACTTCTGGAGGCAAGTCGTTCCACTGATTAATTGTTCTCACTGTCAGGAAAATCCTCCATAGTTCTAGGTTGGTTCTTTCCTTGGTTAGTTTCCGTCCATTGCTTCTATGATCAGCTAAAGCCCCAAAAGATGCAGAAATCACTTTTATTTAGTTCAGCATATTATTAGTAATATGCTGTAATTATTAGTAATAGTAAAGTAATGCCTTTCTTTGTAGAACATGGTAGGCTGTATCTCAGTAACAGAGGTCATGTTTTACATATATCCCCCCCCCAAAAAAATCAGGTTTATTTCTCAGCCTCAGACAGCCTCGGGAAAAGATTTCTTTCTGAAACCCTGCCAGCCAGTATACCTCATACAGCATAATTTTAGATATATTGGATGTCAATTATTATACTCTTCTGTCAGCATATACTTTAGGAATTGAAGTCAAAGATATTTGAGCTGCACCAGGTCACAAAATGCTAATTTGCAGAAAGACATTTTATAATTATACTTTTTCAGTGTGAAGATGCTCTGGGAGAATCTGATTCAGGCTGATACTGGCTCAAAGCAAAAGGGCCAGATATCTATTACCAGAAGAGACCAAGGGATTCCAGAAATCTGAAGGTGAATTATGATATTACAACCCAGATGGGATATAATTGCAATATCTATGGGAAATGATTTATTTTCATTTGTTTATTGGCAATTGAATGGAAGTCGGTATTCTAGGCACATAGGAAAGAAGGTTCCAGCAAGTGTTAAAAATAAAAACTCAAAGCAATGTCGAGCAACAGTTTCACTTTCATCCCCTTTTTACTTATAATGTTCTTTACTTAATTCATCAAATTCTCTCCTTTTTTTAACTTCATTTTATCCTTTACTTTCCCTTAGCATTCCTAGAGCAGTCTTCCCATTGCTAAATCTATTTAATTCTTCAAAAGCACATATTTTCACAAAGGATCTTTATCATTCATTCATTCATTCATTCATTCACTCACTCACTCACTCACTCACTCACTCACTCACTCACTCACTCACTCACTCACTCATTCATTTATTCATTCATTCAATTCTTATTTTTTATCATACAATTCTTTTTTATATGTCTCAAATATAAGGAATACTAGGATATCTTTCTAAATCATCAAACTCAGCTCAGCATCATCACATACAAAGTTTCATAAACCAAAGTCAGAATCTTCCAAGGCCATGTTAGTTTATGATCATGGGAATTTAGTACATGTGAAGTTCAAAGCTTAGGACTGGGTTTCCCAAACTGTAAACTGTACTTTTTTGGGAGAGCTACAGAGACCAGGGGAATGTGAAGGAAGCATTTTAGTTACTTTATTACAATAAATCCACCATCCAAATACCAAAATGAACACAATGAAAACAATACAATGAAACTTGTCATGTTTTCATTGTTCATTTGTGCATTTTGGTATTTAGATTTTTAGGGGAGGTATGTACATTAAGATACACTAAAAGGAAGCTTGGTGGCAAAAGGTTGAGAAACTCTTGACTTAGTAAGAGGCATTGATGATGACTTTATTCAAATAGATGTACTCAAGGCACCAGAAGTAGTAAAAGGGAACAAGATCAGATTCTCTTTTAACTCAGCTATTAATGCAACTTTTTCTGGTTGCTATTTAGTATAGTGAAAGCTTCCTGCTTTTCAAAGAAAGAGCATCCATGTTGCTACAAGTCTCATAAGATTCTTGAGAGCATGTTACCTTGTATTCTGAAAAAGATAAGACAGAGGGAGGGAGGGAGACAAAAAAAGATAAGTCAGTCTCCAGTCCCTTTTGTTCAACAATGGCATCTTTGGCATTTGCAAACCCACTTGGGACTATTACATTAAAACTTAAAAGCAAAATGCCCTCCCCCATTGATACTGTGGTATTTGCAAAATTAGGCATTATTGGGGCCTGCTTGACCATAATTGGTAGCATTATAGATTACCTTTAAAACAATCTAAAACAAATTCACTGTAAAGCTAAATTTGAGGATAGGACTCTGTAGCCATGTATTATAGATTTGTTTAGTTCAGTGTTTTCTAAACTTATTTGGCCATGGACCATTTTGGGGATTTGAATATATTGATAGAACACATATGTGGTTTCCAGAGATAGAAGACTTTTATCCTGATGCATTTGATTAATATATTATATTTAAAAAATGAATAATTCAGTCTTTGAAACAGTAGAAGCTAATAGTAATAGATCTGAGTGTCCCAAGTGCTTTCTCTTGCAACTGCAACTATTTGTCAACAACAGTGTTTTCTATCCATAAAAGATTAATACTGGTAGGATGACTGTTTTTGCTTCTGTTAATGACAATTTTTCTTAACATTAAATCTTAAAACTTTATATCAGAAGCCAATAACATGTGGGCTTCATGTGACATTTGAATCTAATCAGTGTTATATTTCCCGCCTTTAATTGTTGGGCAGACTGTGAACTGCAGATTGATTTCACCAGGCACCACCAATTTGTAATAACCACAATCAATTCTGTTTCAATTTTGTAAAGTTTTGGAATCCACTTTTTCAGAAATATTTTCCTAATATATTAAGAACACAATCTCAGGCCAGTATAAATCCTGATAGGAGAAAATCTGGGAACACGTGAATTAATATTAAGAATTAAGAAACACAGTATTTACTTAGTTAGCACATGGATGTGCCACCCAATCTTAGACAGCTTTCGCCTGTCTAAAAACAGTCGTCATCATAATACATTGATAAAATTCAACTTATCAGACAGCAAGTCTAACAATCCCCCCCCCCCAAAATCTGTCCTAAGGTCATTCCACTCACCTCGCATTCCCCAGTTGACGGCATTTGTGCTGTCGTAGTGGAAGAGTTCAGCGCTGGGAGGCTGCATAGAAAATTATAGTATAGAGGAAGGAATGGTCAGTAAATGGAACAGGAACACAATCCTGTTAAAAATCCCTCTATTCTTTTATAGCTGCTTATAGCAAGAAATATATGAAAACACTTGCTTGGTTCAATAAAGATGTTCATAAACCTTTCCTGCCATTTGTGTGTACCGGCAAAGAGAGTGCAGATAGGGGCAGATTAATCAGATAAATAGTTAGGATGGGAAGGAGCTAAGAGGAAAGAATAAAAGTGTCTGTGGAGATTCTCAGTCATTCAGGTCATAGTTGTCTCAAAGGTGTTTTTTCAAAAGGCAAACTGGAAGAAGAAAGAAGAAGAAGGAAGAAGAAATAGAAGTAGATTCACTTCTCATCCAAGAAGCTTTATCAGTTCTGGCCAGAACCTATGAAGCTTCTTGGATAAGAAGCGAAATGTCTTCTTCTTCCTCAAAACAATTTGGTTGCCTTTTATAAACGTCTTCTCCAAAATCAGTTGCTTAGCTGTTTTCTAGAGAAAATATGCCAGAAGGGTAACAACACATTAATCTGAGGAATGAAAGTTGACTTAAAGCTTCAATTTGGGATATTTTTGCTATATACTAATATTCTCCCCAGGAACCAGTATCATTTTTGCTTGTTTATATTCAGTTTTGTATGCCGGTCTGGTTCAAGACAATATGCACAATAACAATAACAATGTTTAGTGTTATTCACATAATCATCTTTTGAGGAGGTTTATCTAAGTGTCATCTTATTGATTGTCCAAAGTCAGATGTATTAGCATGTCAATAATTCTCAAGTCTTAATGAGATTGTTTAGTTCTGAAATAGGTTACACATTAGCTAAAAATTGTAAGAGTTTTGAAATTACAAGATTGGTTCATGAGTAGGGTTATCCCAATACATTGCACCCTTTGTGGAACTTTTAAAAAAAAAATTCCATCGACAGAAACTGGCTGGATTTGTGAAGATCCTAACTTCAACAGTACTAATGGGATAGTGTCCCACCACTATCCCTGTGCAGAAGGCCAAATTAAGGAATGCTGGGCACAATATAACTCTTCCCTTATGCTTTCCATCTCCCAGCTGTATCAGACAACCTCCTCATTCTGGCAAGAGAGAGGACTAGCAGATTTCCAGGGGAATCTGATCCAGGATTTATTCCAATGATGTAAACTTTCCTCTCATTTAGCAGTGGCTTGTGCTACAAAGCCATAAGCAAGCTCCATGGAATACAGTGCATAGGCTTGAGCTTAGATCATGAAACTGCTTCTCAAGCAGAAACTTTATACACTGGACAAATGCTTTCCACTCTAGTTAAAGAAGCCATTCAAAGGCACCAGCTATTCTTATATATGCAGGAGTGGCTGTGGTTTTCTAGTCCCAAACTCCCACTGGTAATCTAATATGTTCATATCTTCACTAGGAGTCTCCATAACTGTTTCTTAGCAACTGCCCAATACTCTCTCAGCATAATGCTTGTGGAAGGACATCAATCCCATTTCTGACATCGACATGACTCTCAACATTAGCCCAGAGAACTTCTTATTCTTACAATGAGAAATAATCATAATGGGGAGGGCAACGTTTATTTTATTAAACGTTTATTAAAGTTTTCATACAAATAATTGGAAATACTTTCACTTGGGGATGAGATCTTACCCTATGCATCCCATTCCTTCTGTAAGCAGGAAGAGAAGCAGATTTTGAAATGAGGGGATCTGAGGGAGAAAAAAAAGAGAGAAAGGACAAGTCAGAATTAATATTTCCAATGAAGAAAAAGTATCTTTCTTGTGGCCAGCTACAGAACAATACTAATTATCAGAAGAAACAGAAAGAATGTCCACCCATAGTTACTACTATTACAGATAGTCCTTGCTTAACAACTGCTCACTTAGTGACTGTTCAGAGTTACAACAGGCCACCCAAAGGCTACTTATGACCCTGTTCAATAGCTGCACATACCCCTGCAGTCACGTGACTGCATTTTGGGCGCTTGGCAACCAGCTCACCTTTATGGCCCGGTTGCAGAGTTCTGCTCTCACGACTGAAATTTACAAACTTTTTTGCTTTTCAGCCAGTTTCCAGCAAAAACAAACACCCATAGGAATAGATACACTTAACAATCACAGCATTGCTTAAAGATAGCTACAAAAAAATGTCAAAAAAGTAGATCTGGTCATGCGAGTACCTGGATTTATGACTGAAATTTTGGGCTCAGTGTTGTAAGTCAGAGGTCCCCAACCTTTTGGCCACCAGGGACTGGTTACATGGAGAGAGGTTTTTCCGTGGACCGGAGGGGGCGTGGTTTTGTGTGCTGCCTGCATCCTGCGGATGGGGCTTTGCTTGTTTGTGTGGCCCAGTTGCTGGCATGCTATGTCCCGGTACTGGTCCACAGACCAGGGTTGGGACCCCTGTTGTAAGTCAAGGACTATCTGTACTGATATTATTTTTAAATCTTGCCTTTCTTCAAATAAGCATGTGGTAAACTATGTGATCTTTTACCAATTTCTTCATCATTAGCTGGGATGACTGCTAAAAGGTGATTAGTTCAAGGTTGCCTAATCAAATCAAGGATCTGATTTTGTTCTTTCTTATGTCTGACTCCTTATTTATTTCACCACATTTTCTTTGAAAGAACTGCATCCTCCAGAATAGCAGAATAATCTCACTCAAGGCATGATAAGGGAAGTTATTCAGAACATACAAACACATTTCCATTCCCAATATACATTAATGATGTTAATAACAGATAATAACCCCATGAGAGCTGCCTCCCAAGTTGGTTTAACTTAATGTTTCTCAACCTGAGAGCAGTAGCCTACTTCACTCTGTTTAACAGTAGTGTTGCCATTTCATCTTTACTCTTGAACATTATAGATGCACATATGTGAAGCCATAGATCAGTCCATAAATATCACCATCTACTTACGGGTAAAGAGTCCTATAATTAATCTAGTCCAATTAAACCCCATCAGAGTTCTTGGGGTAAAATGGATTGAAGAATACAAAGCAAAAGAGGCAGGAAGTTGAGAAACACATACCACTGTCTGCCAGGTAGTGTGACCGGGGTGCTGTAAAAGGAGACAAACCAAGATATCAGGCGCATTGTTGGAATATTTTTTCCCCTAAGAGCATTAAATTAGATACACTCATGCAAAAAACTGTCTTAGGTGATGGCACAACTATGAGAATAATGTCATGATACTGTCCAAGCAGTAGGTGCCACTGGAGTACCTTGTATCTGGGTAGAGTTGGGAGTTTCTTGTTATCTTCTTGTTTTGTTTCAGAATGACAATATTCTTATCCTGATATACTCTATAAACTGTATAAACAACAGTGTATGCAAAATAAATAATAACGAGTTTAGAGAACTCTGGATGAATAAATGTTGTCAGCAGATTCCCTGACTCCCACTTCACAAAAGCCATAACACACATGGACACACACACACCCCCCTTCCTTCCCTCCAAAATGTTCCTGTCTGCACACTAGTTGATGGAAAAGAATGCTGGGGGAGGTGAGAGAGAGAAAGAAAGATTTGGTATGAAAGCATTTGCCAGTGCAATCTGATATTCTTCACAGATTTCTGAGCGGAGTCCAATAGCCCTGGATCCAAGCTATTATTTTTCACCTGGCTCTGGATAATGAACTTTAGGCCCCTATTAACGTAAACAAACAAACAAACAAAATGAGCAATCCTGAAATTTGCCAATCATCAAAGAGGCCACTAGTTCTCAGAGTGCAGAACATACCTCTGCAGTAGCTTAATTGGAGCCCATCCTGAATACTTTCCATCCACCTGCACTTGCCTATTTGCCACAGTCTTACTTTTAATTAATTGAACTCTTCCTAATCAGCCAATGACTACAGTTCCCTCTCAGTGTAGAAGCCAGACCAATTATTAATGCAAATCCAGTTTCTGCACTAAGATGTTCTACAAAAAAATGGTGCTTGCAACAGAGTACTGGCCAGAGTGGCACCAAATGGGCCTAGGGGTTCATGGGAGGAATTATTTGCAGGAGTTTCAACTCTCTCAAAAAACACAGCACTGATGGACCATGAGACATTGTTATGTGTAAATGCATGCATATACATGTATATGACTCTACACATGTACAAACATTGGACCCCATGTTTTATATACTGCCATGTATTAGCATAATTGTAGTATACTGTATGTCTCTGTTTTAAATTGTTGCTTTTATATAACATTTTCTGCTCAAAACCTTCCCCAGACAGGGTACCCCTGCCTTTTTTATGATCAAGAGTTAAAAATAATGAGTTTTGAGTGAGACTTTGTATTATGTGTGCCAGGTACCTATCTCATTTATCTGCCTCAGTCCAACAGCCCTTAAGGCTGCTTTGCATTTATTTTTTTAAGAGTGGCAAAAAGATGCACACACATGCCAGATCCAGTTTGACTTTAATAATAATTTAAAAAACTGAACAGCTGCTTAGCTAACAATAGTCCCATCTGGTGGTCAGTGGATGCTATTGTTGTTGCACACCTGTAATTCTTCAACTTTCATTCATGCTCTACTTGTCTATCAAAATAATGTAGGTGAGATAAAGTAGTTTATTTAATAAAAATCTATTTTGATTCCAACTTTAGTAAGGTAATTCAGGTGTATTATAGTGCAAGAGTTAATGTTGCAACAAAATGTATGTAGTAAATCCACATTGCATCGTTGAAACATAGCGATACATACAAAGTGATTCATATAGTCAATTAAATTCAACTGTCTTGGAATATATGGCTTCGGTGAGTATGATTTTATTGTTAGACGCTTAGTCTTGACCTCAAACATTAGAGAGCAGCCTCTTGAATTTTATTTTGGCTTCCTGAAATAGATAACTACAACAAAACACAGACATATGAATCACCTAGCCTGGTACAGTATGTGTGGCACACAACCAACAGGGAAACAACTAGAAATCTTTTCAGACATCTAGCTCATCTCAGCAGTAAAATGGATGTACTTAAAGGCTACTTCTTGATGTTCCTTAGCATTAGTAGGGGATATTTTGGATCTGCAGGAATTACTATGAGAGCAGTGTTCCCTAATCAGAGTAGGGGCAAAAATGCTTGGGAGTTAAGGGGCAATTAAGTTATAGAGAAATAGGGATGGAGTAGGGACGGTGGTCATGAGCTGGATATATGCATATAGCAAAGTTCAAGTTCAAAGTTACATTTGAATTATTAACAGGTAAAGGTTTTAAGAGCTTATTCTTTGGCTTTTTCTTTGAGAATGGCAAAAAATCAGATGGTTTGATCAGGCAAAGAAATGCAGTACAAGAGTCAGAAACAGCATTAAGCAAATGGACTGATTTGTTTAATTGCTCTGAACATATAAAGTTCGTCTTCCATGGCTGCTGTTATTTTCTTTGTTTTCAGGGCTCTTTTACCTCTAAAGTCACTTCCCACTAGCAATTTTTAGGGTGGTCCAAGATTTCTGAGCTGATATAAAACTTGTTTTCATTCCTATTATATCACTAGAAATTATGATAATTTGCTAATGGGCATTTAGCCCCAGTTTCATCACCTTTTATTATGTTTTTGTACAGAGCAAGTAAAATCTAGCTGGAACAATCACATCCATAGTTCTATTCAATTGTACAAATTTCTTCAAGTCTATTCTTGGTTGTCATTGAGCTGCCAGCATTGGAGCTTTCCAGTGCTAGCAGGTTGAATATCTGATCTCATCTGATCTCAACACTTTAGTGGGAGATCAGTGCTCTGGGATCCTCACATACAGTCATGGTTCCTACAGAAAATCAGCTAATGACTATTCAATCTTTCACTGTTGAGTGTTCCTAAAAACAGCCCTCTGCTGGTAGGCAGAGTGGTTGTGATGTGCCTGTTGTTGCTTACAGCCATTTAAGGAGCTCTCGTAGCCTGCTGTATGAAGAGCTTCTCTGCTACTCGCTGAACTGCGGGGAGGCGTCCAAGGGTCCATGTATGAATTAGCACGGGCCTTCATTTCTTCCTTCAGTATCAATCGGCCAATTCCTGTCTGGATCTACATATTTTAAAAGGTAAAGGTAAAAAAGAATAGAAGGCATAGAGACAAACTTTTTCTTTCAGCTATATATAAAATAGAACAGAGCTGGAAGGGACGTTGGAGGTCTTCTAGTCCAGCCCCCTGTTCAAGCAGGAGTGTCCTATACCATCCTAGACAAGTGACTGTCTAGCCTCACTATCAGTGTTAGATGGGATGGTGTTCAACTTCCATATTTTCCAGCCAACCATATGAATTTTGGAAGACCAGCATATCTGACAGTCACCAGATTGGGGAAGGCTGGACCACCTCATCACAGAGGAAAGTGGCTTTATCTGAGGCTATAGAGAAGATAGCTGAACTCCTTGCCAAGTTGTGAGTCCTCTTTTCGAATGCACTAGAGGTCTTCATAGAAAAAAAAACACTGAAGGTTCACTACCCCAAAGAGAAAAGGGTCTTGGGGAGCTAGTCTGGAAAGAATATTGTCTACACCAGCATGACAGCAGGGGCAAGAGTTAATCAAAGCTGAACACTCACTCTGTGCATCCCTCGATCAAAGCTATCTTCTTCTCCTCCTGATGAGAATCTTCGAACTCGGGGAGCTACAAGCAAATATGGGGAAAGCATTCAGTTCGGAGTTTGCATACAGAGTAAGGCAAAAGGTTATTAGTGGACAAGCTAAGATTGATTTCTGTTGCCCAGTTGTGATCTATTCTTTTCAGCAGGGCCATCAAAGTCTGAAGTGCCCTGGAGTGAGAGTGGGAAGTCAGGGTGCTGTTAAGAGTTGAAAGTAGGTGGGGTCCAGAATAAAAGATAAATTTTGTGTGAGATCACTTATGTTCATATTTCAAGAAATCGAATACGTATTCTCCAGCCATACATGCAATAATTCCCTCCTTATATCATATTACAACCTGGTAATTAACTTGGACATATACGTGGACTGCATTGAAGGCTTTCAGAGAACCAAGGTTATTTGTCATAAAATACAAAACAAAAACAAAACCCCCCCACCTTGTCTTCCTTTAGAGATCTCAGATATAATCTCCCCCAATATGTCCTTGATATATGGGGTAGAGTTGGAATATAAAGATTTTAGTGTCCTGAATGCAGAATGTTACCTTTGGGTGAACCTTGAAAAGTCCAGTACTCTGTTTCTGAGTGATAATATGGATCTGGAGAATAAGCTGGACTATATTTGGAGGTCTGAGAGATGTCTTCACTAGTTTTGCTTTTTGTAGCTGCAGAGTGGGAATCTGAAAAAGCAACCAGGGAAAGAATCAGCAGAAGTGGAAATCAAACTTTAGATGCTCTGGCTCAAATAATATAAGACAGCAGATGACCAATCCTATTTACATTCATCCTGGATATCCCAATATATAAACTGGAGGATCAGATGAAGAACTTTTTATGCAAGGCACAAAAGCCAAATCTACTTCCTATCCACTGCTATGTCACCATAAATGTTCTGTGGTGTTGGAGGTCAGATATGGGAACACTGTCTGGGAGATCTATGGGGAGAACTGAGTCTGATTCAGATTTGGCATCTCCTTCCTGCCCAAACCCTTATAATTAAACACTGTTCTTTATGTGTAATTATAATAGATCCAATTGGTTCTACTCCTGTCATGACTTTATAACATAGAATAGAATAGAATAGAATAGAATAGAATAGAATAGAATAGAATAGAATAGAATAGAATAGGAAGGGAGCTTGGAGATCTTCTAGTCCAGCCCCCTACTCAAGCAGGAGAACCTATACCATATCAGACAAGTGACTGTCTAGCCTCTTCTTAAAAATCTCCAGTGATGCAAGTATTTGTTCGTTCTGAGCCTTTGCTTTCCTGACTTCATCTTTACATGTTCTGGCTGTCTGCTGATAATCAGCCTTAGTTATGTGCTCCTCTTTCCATTTTTGTGTATTTGTCCTTTTTGTTTTTCAGTTTGTCAGAGAGATCTTTGTGCAGCCATGCTGTTTTCTTCTTGAATTTCTTGTTTTTCTTTTTCATGGTATTGTGCTGGTCTGGGCTTTTATGATCACATTTTTGAGAGTTTCCCACGCTTCTTGGGTTATTTTCCGCTTTAGGATTTTCATCCATGGGATCTTTCCTAGATTCTCTCTGAGTTTGTTAAAGTCAGCTCTTTTGAAGTTCAAGACACTGGTTGGATTGTTTTCTGTTGCTAGTGTTTGTGTTATATTAAATTCCAGTATGACATGGTCACTTTCGCCCAAGGTTCCAACAACTTCAACTCCCTCTATCACTTCTTCTCTATTAGTTAAAATTAAGTCCAGTATGGCTTTACGTCTAGTTCCCTCCTCCACCTTTTGGATGACAAAGTTGTTGGCTAGGTTGGTTAGGAATCTGTTTGATATCCTGCTCGCTGCAGAGTTTGTCTCCCAGTTGATATCTGGATAGTTGAAGTCTCCCATTACTATTGTGGTATGCTTCCTACATACATTTGTTAACTGGTTGGCAAAGAGTTCATCTATTTCTTCTGATTGGTTGGGTGGTCTGTAATATACACCTATGGTAATGTCACTTTTTTTCTCTTTTATATTGACCCATATGCATTCTGAAGAGATTTTATCTTTGATCATGTGCATTTCTGTAGATATGTAATGTTCTCTTACATATAGTGCAACTCCCCCTCCTCTTTTTGTAGACCTGTTTCTTCTGAACAATTTGTATCCATCCATCAGTCCATTCCATTCATTGGTTTCGTCCCACCAGGTTTCTATAATGCCAACTATGTCATACCCTCCCTTGTGTACTATTGCTTCTAGTTCACCCTGTTTGTTCCCCAAGCTTTGAGCATTTGTATACAAGCATTTAAGACTTTTGTGCCTGTGCATGGGTATGTTTCCTGTACCTCCTGAATGTTGTTTGAGTTTTTCTTTTTTTTCATCTCTGCCCACCTCATTGTTTGATTTGTTTTCTTGGGATTTATGATTGGTTTTGGGTTCTAGAGATTCTGAATATTGGTCACCCTTCCCCCTCACGTAATAGAGAACAATTCTGTATTCTAATATAAGATGCTCATTTCCCGCATTATTTCTGGCTGCTTCCAAAGTCAACTTCAAAAATTCCAGTCTAGATTGCAGTGGGTTGCAATGGAATCAACTGGTGTTTAGTCTGCACTACAACCACTGTAGGCCCTGACTGGTCATGTCCTTCCCAAATCATGCAGGAAAGGCATGTGCCCAGCTTTTGATTCAGAAATTATGCCTTCATGTTTTTCCTAAAACTTCTTAGCAAGGAAGAATTGATAAGTTAGCTTCATAACAATAAAGTTGCAACGTTCCTGTGTTGCAATTTAAATATATTTTTCAAAAGAAAAAACAAAACATCGCAGTCCTGTAGGCAGACTGGGAAAGCAAGAGAAGCATGCTTCACCCAGTTGGACAGAAAAAGACTGCCTACTGGTAGGCAGTTGAATGGGGCATTAACCTCCAAGGTTGAGGGTACTTGAATGAGTTAATGGGCTGTCATGAGATAAACACCAAATTAAAAAACCAAACTGCAACTGTAGACCAGCAGAGAACATAATTGCCTGTTATGTTTGTCAGCCCAGTGGCCAGCCAGAGGAGGGAAGGGAGCATGACAAACACTGCAGCCAATCAGAACTAGACTGCTAATAGACTGGAACAAAGCTCTGAGAACAGCTGTTTTGAATGGAAGCTGGAAAATTCCAGGCAGGGATGCATGTGCGAAGGGTTGGGAGTGGGACAACGATGATGTCATCTGTTCCTACAGCCTGAAAGCAATCAACGGCCCATCCTGGCAACGGGCCAAGCAGAAAGTGTGGATATGCCCATACAGAATTGAAATTACGCAGTTTGCCATTTGTCAGTAAAACTTGCCTAGTCAAATCTACATCTGCCAAACTGTACTGTATCCAGGGAATGGCTCCAGCTCTGGAACTGCACAGAATTCTAAAATAGAACTGGCTGCACTCCATGTCTGTTGCTGCCATTTTTAATTCTCTGCGTTCAGGAGGGTTGTGTTTTTTTTCTTGTAGAGAATTCAATCTCAGTTAACAACAGGGAAGACTCCTGACTGAAACTTTGGAGCCCTGCTGCCAGGTGTTACTTGTAGACATCCCTTAATTAGGTGGACCAATTGATTGACTTGGTATGGGACAATATGTCAAGTTACCATGCTTTATGTCCAAAAAAAGTAGGGTTTAGACTCAGTAGGTAGCAGAAAGAGAGGAGGAGGAGGAGGAGGAGGAGGAGTAAAACAAGAAAGGGACTAGCAAGTGGGGCACTCTTAACTGCTAGCAGAGCTGAGGTAGCAAGAAGCATTATGTGGTAGAGCTGACATGCCATTTATCAATCTATAGTCCACTCCAAGATTCACAGAGTAGAATTCCACTTGAGCATTTGCAAGCCAAAGCACACAGCCTAGATGAGCTTCCACCTCCTTGCTCGTATCATTCAAATGATTGCAGACATTTTTGCATTCGGTACAAATTTCTGAAGTAGGAAAAGTATATTGGTTCACATGAACGCCAATATGCATATAATCATATCCATGAAGATGTTGCAGCCACACACTCAGTGCTCACTGCCTACAGCAACAACCCATGTCTTTAAAGCCAAATTGATGGGGAACAAGTTGAGGAGGGAGGAAGGAAACATTAATCTTAGTGTCAAAGTCATTAGATACTACTTAAACAACTATCAGTTGTGTTGTTTTTGAAAACTGAACAGCATAAACAAGGAATTTATCTATATTGGAATTCAGATGGTGGCTTGAGATTGGGTTCCTTAGATTTGATATTTTCATGGGGAGAAAATTTGAAAGAAGCAAACAGAAACCTAGCTTGGAACTATGTTTGTATAAATCATTAAAGTCCCCTACTCTTAGCTAGGATCCTAATTCTGATCTACCACTCCTGAAAGCTAATTATTTTTTTTAAATTTCTGATTGCTTGAATAGTATCTAGTCCAAGATGACCCTCAGAGAATAAGGATAGGGAAAAAAAAGTTGTATGTGATTTAGCATAAGGGTTTGAGTGAAGAAGTGCATTACATAATGTGCCACCTTATTTAGCCTTTAGTTAGTTGCTACACAACATGGGTTGAAAGCATCCATTCCAGGTTTTCATCTCAAAGATCCACAGCAAGTAAGAAAAATTGAACAGAGATTTCTTCCCTTTCCCACAAACATCCCCACATACAATTAAAAGCATTCACCCATTTATGCCCGATCTATTTGGGCTGTAAGGTTGGAAGGGGATAATAATACTTTGAGAGAAAGCTAGAGATGATTTGGGGGCCATGCTATGCATTATGAGAAACATGCATCAGCATTGCTAAACTGGATTCTTTTATATAAGCAGCTGCAAGTCTCTATATCTGGATGATGCTCCCAGTCTGGATGTGGCTGTGGCAATAGACTTCACGTGCATGTACAAAATTCTATTCCTTTTTTAATGTTTTAATTCATCCATGTTGTTTTTATTTCAGATAAATGCAATTTATTCCTACTGTGATGCTCTAAAATGAATATGTAAATTGAATTACTAGATAACCAACTATAGTGGTTTTGTCAAGTATGATGGGCAAAACTCCAGATTGCATGCATATAATTTACAAAGTACTGTAAGTCATCTTCATTGTGTGATTTTGAGTAAAAAAAAACAGAATCCAAAAGGGGAAAAAAAAACCCTATCTGTAAACTGCCAAGAGTTCATTTAATGAGCAACTAAGAGCTGTGAAGTACACAAACTCCAAGTCTTGCTGCAGGAAGTCAGAAGGTTCTCAGAAACTTGCTGCTTCAAAGGTGAGAGCCAAAAGCAGCTACTTACAATGCAGTGGGGTGCAGTCAGCCAGCAAGCAGGGAGTTATGAAGATAGCACATTAGGAAAGGGGAGAAAAAAAGAGAGGAGGAGACACCTGGTTACCACATTAAAGGAAACATCACAAGTCTTCTAAAACAAAAGCAGACTGTTGAGAAGCTCAGAGGAACAGTCTTTCCTCTTCAGAGCTCCACCTTCCATCACCTCAGAGCTCTTCCTCCAAAGGTGATGAAGAGAATTGATTTCTATAACTTTTCCTGCCATACAAGAGCACGGGACACCTGGCTTTGAAGCAAGTCCGGCCTTGCTCCTTTTGCGAGATCTGTGCCTGCATCCTAAACTGGAGTCAAACTATGTTTCTGGCCTGTTTTTACAAATAGTAAAAGGCCGAGAAGTAGAGTGGATATTCTGGTGGTGTTCATTGGTCTTCAAAAGCAGCCAAGTAATTATGATACAGCTCTTTAATATTCATATCTTTGCTGTACATTTTGGTTAAGCTTTACTCTTCAAACATGTACAGTCTTCTAAATCAATGGTTGTTAGAAATATGCTACTTTTCCTAAGGACCTATAAATAGACAAGCTTTTTCTGCTTAGCTGAGAGGGTAGGTAAGTACAAATTAGAGATAAATGAGCTAGGGCTCCTATGAATGTTTTGGGTCTATTCTCAATCGGTCCAGCAGCGAAGAGTTTTATAGGATTGGGACACTTTTCAATGTATCTATCTGATGATGCTCCAGCAATTTTTAAAGCTCTGTAATAGAGTCATATGGCTTATACTTTATACATATTAATACCTTAAGATTAGGCCACAGAAAAGTACAGCGAGGTCTATATATTCACTTTGTGACATTTTTGCTTCAATATATTTTTCAAGTTCAAATGTGAACTTACCATTCCTTCTCTCATCACCTTTTTTTAATATAGAAAACCATCATATCCAACTACCTCCTTAAGCCAGCCTGGAGTCTTTTAAAAAAAAATTAAATTCATTTCTCTTCTGTACTCCTATGTTTAGCTCATCATATAACTAAGTCACTTCTGAACTTGGCATGGAATGTTAAAACAGACTCTTCTAGTTGATCTTCTTGGCTGAAACTCTGTATGTTGGTCATCTCTTTCCTTGATTACTGCAGACTTCACTCTGATTCCTATGATCTCAGCGTGAAATCTCTCAATACCTATTTGACATTCTGCTGCCCAGATCATTCACTTCTCTCATTACTCTGACTTCTTTGGTTTCTTGTACCCAATTGGGTCCTATATAAACCCCCTAATGTGTAGATTTGAACTCCTATAGGATTGTCATCCCCCTTCCACAAATATTTCTTTGTAGTTTTCTAAAATAACTCTTCATGATTTTTCACTTTGCTGTTCAAAGGTTCTTCTCTTCTGCCAAAGTTCTCGTTCTGCTTTCCCCTTTCCCCCGCTCTTCTATTTTCAGCACCTTTTGTAAAATATTTTGTTCCCTTTGTTCTTGTTCTTCCCTCCATGGAAAGCATCTATTTTCATACACTACAGAGTTTCCAACTAAGGAGCATCAGTAGCACAGCCACAGCATCTAATGGCATCTTAGTAAGCTATATGGTCCTGCTTCATCTCATATCCTTATGTTTTAAAAGTTAATGGACAATAAGAATTATCCACTTAAAAGCAATGTGCTATTTGCCTGCCTGAGGTACACTGTTGAGTGTTTACTTTTTCTGAACACATGGAGGCACCCTAAGATAAGAGATCTAGCAAGCCCTCCTCTCACAATTCTGAAAGGCCATTATACTCTCATTCTTTTCAAAGTCTATTATGTCCAGGTCTGGTTCTGCCACCAACTTTTGTATAGTTTATTGAGCCACTTCCAATGCACACCACCAGACCTAAGCAGAACTTTGGTTTATTCTAAGTTGCATGCCCATATATATATATATATATATATATATATGTCAAAGCCATGCCCAAACTGTACCGTGTCTTTTATAGATGGGTGGTTTCCGGTAGATGTTACTCTCTGCAGCAGCTGGAGGTAAAGAAAGAAGAATAATGAAAGAAAGAAGGAGATAGCAAAAGAGGGGAGCCAGGGTGTGAGGCTTAGAGGTACAGGAACCTGCCTGTCATTCTTGAAGAGGGGTGGTGGGAATCTTCTCCGTATCATTTTGGCAGCAGAAGTAAAAACATATATAATATAGAAAAGGTTAGCATGATCCCTATACTAGTCACATGAGCCAGCAGATTTGCAAATAAAATTGCCTGCCCAAGATTACCACTGCCTGCTTAATTCGTTTGATACTTTCCCATCTTAAGATAAAACAGCCTTATCTTAAATACCTGCAGAGCGAACTTAGGCTGGGAGATGGTTTAATGGAGGGAAGAAGGAATTAATCCTCTTTGTGAGCTATTTCAACAGCTATAAGACAGTGAATGTGTGCATGCACAAGAGGTCATGCTGTGAGCATGCTCACTACTGACAGCATGCAGGGTCAGGCAGAGAGAGTTGGTAGCTGGCCTCAGCTCCAGAGATGGGAAGGCCTCCTTTGGTGAGTGCTAACGGCCATTGTCTCCTTGGCTGGCAATGGCACAAGATGATTTATGAGTTGGTTACCTAGAGATACCGGGACAAAAATCCCATCCTTGTTCAGGAGTCAGACATATTCTCTTCAAATAAGAGAGAAGCAAAGCAAGCTGGGAATAGGAGCTACTCTATCAGCACAGAAGCTTACTGATGGGCTGATCCGGTGTGTAGGCAAAGGGGCCATCCATAAAAGACACAAGCAAAAGCTACAGGAGCAGTAGCCATCACAATGACCGTTTCAGTAGGGCTAATGATGAAAGGGGCATACTAGGGCAAGGAAAATTCTAGAAGGCAAATCAAGGCAATTCAGGCCAGTTACATCAGCTGATCATGCCTAATTCAGGTAAGTTTCACTTTCCTGCTCTATGTCTCTCTGGAGATGCCTTGCAGAATACACTAAGGTCAGGAGATTGTAACAAACATGTGTAAATACTTAACCCCAAACTGTAAATTTCAAGCATTTCTACAAGGACCAAAATCTATCTGGAGTTTGATAACTTAGGAGATGAATGAAAAATAATCAAATCCCAATGCTGAACTTTATCAGCTGACGGACTCTATCATGTGTGACCTTAATGGAAGCCAATGAGATCCACATTGTTATTTCAGGCTGCATGGAAAACAAAGAGCTTCTTCTTCTTCTTCTTCTGTGTCTAGATCAAACTTTAAACTGCCAGAATGAAGCCACCTTCTTGGCTTTGTCGTTGGCCCAAAATTATCAGAACAGACCAAGAGCGAAACCTAGAAAGTAGACTGTGATTCCATTCTGGTAGGAAGATGTTGCCCTAATTCTAGATCAGGGTTCTCCAGAGTGGTCAATTACTGTTGTTTTATCGCTATTGTTTTTATTCACAGTACTATTAGTTAAATTAGTATTTATTAAATTATGTTCATATAATACATGTTTGAGGGTTGACGAACAATCTATAACTTCATGAAGGGTTTGATGAACTGAAGAGTCCGAGGACTCCTGTTCTAGAGTGAAGGAAGGAAGGCTCCCACCGCTGCCAGCTTTGGCACAGGAATGGTCCTTACATGTTCTGACCAAACAAATGAGGCTCAATTTACCTTGTGAGCAAAGCTGGTTGCAGATTGTGCAGGCGGGCAAGTGGGGAAGGCATTCAGGTCTCTACTTGCAGCCTGACAAGGGACAGAGGTTGGCTTCCCTCCCTCCCCCTCTGCAGGAGGGGTGGGGCAGTGGCCCTTACCTGGGTCTCTGCTGGAGGGGAGCAGCCACCTGGCAAGTCCAGAGAGATCTGGGGGAAGGGTGCAGCGGGCCCTGAGGGGAGCAGGAGTATAAGATAAATTATGTGTCAAAGATGTGGGGTGTAGAAAAGCTCTTAGCTGACAGACAAGCTTTACCCTCTGGCCCTTGAGGTAGGAGAAGAGAAGGAGAGGAAGAGGAGAGTCTTTCCTTTGTACAGGGGGCAGGGGAGAGGGAGATTTTAGAGAAGGAGAGAAGGCTGCAGGTCTTGTTTATGGATGGCCTCTACCATGCAGCTGTAGCTTGCTGCGGCCAGCTTACCTTAGGCTGGCAACAGCACTACTCATGCAAATAACACACTTGGCACAAGCATGCAGGCTAAAAAAGAAAAAAAGAAAAAAAGATCCCATACAGCACTCCTTCACTGGCTGGCCAGAGGCCTCCAGAGCCTACCTGGAATGTGGAAATGCTTAGGAGCTTGGTATGAGGTTGGTGTAGAAGACCTCACATCTAACTGGCTATAGTAGGGGGAGCTGCGTCCACTCTCTGTCCCTTGAAAGAGCAGATTGGAGGGAGCAGCAGAGAAGAAAAGAGAGAGGCAGAGGAAAATTGATGTTAAAAACAGTATTTTAGAAAATTAGCAAGCCATCTGTGAATTTATGGTGGGAGTACATGGGTGGAGGGAGGTGGTGGTGATGGCGGTGCTGATTCTTTCAACACATAACAAGAAGCCTGGGTTGTTCCAATCATTCCAAAAGTATCTCAAATTCAAAAGAACAGGGTTTTGAATTTGAAACAAATTTCTGAGCTGGCAAAAGGGGTGTTCCTTGTTCAGAACACTTCTGGAGGGGTTGGAAAAACCCACCACGAATTCAGGACAAATATTTTGCACATCTGTAGTTGCTTCCCGTATCATCTGCTTCTTTCCATTTCTACTCTGCCACAGAATTGCCACTCTGAATTTGCTTAGAGAAATGAAAATGGAGCATGACAATGGAGTGAAGTTCATCACAACTCTTTGGTATCCTGAAGACAGTAAAAAACAGAGCTAGACACTTTGCCTACCATTCTGTTAAGGAAAGATCCTATGCAATGGAGGACACTGTACCAATGTGACCCTCCTTGTCTCTCTGATTTCACGTTCAGGCCATTCTGGATATAGAAAATGCTTTGGCAGCATGTATGTCCCTTGGAGAGAAGTTGGTCTGTCCTTCTAAGGATGTGTTAAAGCTGAGTTCCGTTGGACAAATGTCTTTATTTGAATCCTGATGGAGACAGCCATGCCCTACCTGAGCGGTAATAATGATGTGGAGAGCGTGGGATGGTGGGAGATATGCCTTGGCGACTGTAGGTGGGTGAGTCTATGTAGCCTGGGCTGGATGCTCGCCTCTGCCTGATGTCCATGCTGTCATAAATATCCTGCAAAAAATGCAAAACGTTGTTCATAAAAGATCCAGTCCCAGGAGGGTCAAGATGTGTGTACATTAGCATGCATCCTGGCCCTCTGAATATTATATTCCTTTCCCAACTGAGGGCATCTTTTCCCAATGTGCACAAATATATGACACCACAAAGATAATATGCTTTGCCCAGAGCATATTTCATTTAATAGCATGGGGGGGGGAGGGGGAGACCTTCTACTGGAGGTTTTTGCTAACCCGGCTCTCCTCAAATTCTCTTTCAGCTCTCATTGCATGAACCCTAGAGATGTGAGCCTGCAATTAGTCTTACGTGCTGTGTGATTACCTGAGAATATGGAGACAAGGTTCCAAGAGACTACAAGTGACAGAAGGTCAGAGACAAATCGCCAGGGAATAAAGAGCAGGGGGAAAAAGAGATAGAGAGCAATTGATTACAAGCTGATCTAATGTTTGTGCATCACAAGCCAGTTCCCCCAAATTCACTTTACTAAACTACAACCTTCTCAGAACTGCCAAGGCATTGAGAAAATTTAGGAGAAAGAGATTCTGAAACACCAAAGAAAGAGAAGACCAATCCCATAACTTTCCCTAGGATTGTGAGAAAAGCAGCAAGACAGCTCAGAATTTCATTTCCCTTCAATTATATTCTTGTCACCTCAAAGAGATGTATGTGCCTGCTTGGATTAACCTAGATTAATTAGCTGCTAATTGAGCCCTTTTCTCATGTGCTCTCCATTTTACAATGGTTTCTTTAAGTAACTGAGAACCAAATCATTGCGTTTGAACAAACCTAGCTCTGAAAGTAGTGCACTTAAGATAATATACTCAGTTTTTAGGCAGCACATAAAATAAGAAATGAACCTTAAAGGGATTCTCTTAGAGCAATTATATGTGGAAGACATGACAAGGGCTGATGCGTGAATGTAAGAAAACAGTGGAGGACCACTGTTATACAATTTTCTTGTATAAGACTCACATCTTCCTGGAAGGATATGACAAACATGTAGCAATTAAATATTTGCATGGTTCCCTCTTAATCATATTTTTGAAATTAACGCAGAAACATGCCTACAAGTTTATTTAAGATGCTCCTCCTTAAATTATTAAAAAGTGTCTTTGGCACAAATTTGCTTTGCAAAAGTAGGACTAGCTCAAATACAACAAAAAGCAAAATATTAAATGGCATCACTTTTTATTTTAAAAAAATTCTTAGACCATTCCTGAAGGTCTAATTGCACCAAACTGGTTCATTTAAGAACAAGCATAGTCCAGAGCAGGGGTGTTAAACTCGCAACGTCACATAATGTGTCGCGACATATCACAACTTTTTTTCCATTGCCGGCAATGGGGTGGGCGTGGTTTCAGCATGATGTATCCGGCCCGCGGGCTGGCAGTTTGACATTCCTGGTCCAGAGCACAGGTAGTCCTTGCTTAGTGACTACAATTTTGTTACTAAGTGATACATTCATTAAGCAAGATATCATGTAATTGCGGCAGACTTTTGACTTCATTTCTACTGGAGTCATTTAAGTGAGTCACCATAGCTTGTTAAGTGAGAAATCATGTGACTACCACATGTGATTTTACTGCCGGCCTCCCCATTGTTTCTGCTTGTTGGAAGCCAGATGCAAAGCACACAAATGGCAATTGTCTGATCACAGCATATTGTGACAGTCATAAATGCCATCACAACTTCAAAAGATGGCTAAACGAGGCAATCAATAAGTGAGGTCTATTTGCATTGCTGTGCAAATAAGAAGCATTCTGAAGAAGCTCCTTAATTGCTGAAGTGGCAGAAAAGGCAGCTGAAGTAGTGCTGGCAAAGAAGTCACTAGAACTGAACACAGATTAAGTGCTCAGGTTCAAGCTTACACCATGGTATGATGAGTGGCAAAAGAGCAACATTTTTCCATGGAGCCTAATGAAGTAGACAGAGTCTTCTGTGATATCAGCTCTGCCACTTGTGAAGTAGATCCCTGCTGCTCCAGGTGGCTGAAATCCTCCAGAGAAGAGTCAGAAGGATAGAACAGATAGCTAAATGTCTAGATAGGCATGGCATATAGGTGTGAAAGAGGTTCTGATGCAACCTCTACTCAAGAAACCTGCTCATGAGTAAGTAACTATCCACCATCTCAATCCTCCTGTCCTTTATCCAGGAACAGGAGGGTGGGAATAGAAGGGTGGAGAATGTTTGACAGTAACTTAGTTGTTGAGGCAGCCCTTGATGAAGTTGACCCCTGCATTATGGGGTGTCTTATAATTTGATCCTCTTTATTAGGTCACTGGTAGAGATTATCCACTATATGGATGATACTGAGTTTTACACTTCTACCTTGGGCTGAACAGGAGATGTTGTTAAGATCCTTCCCAGTGCCTGGAGGCTATTAGGGACTGAATGGAGAAAAATGGATTTAGACTCAATCCCAGCAAAAGAGTATGACTGTAGGTTTAGAAATTGAGGGATTTAATAGAATTTTGTCCTTGGCACTGGACAACTTCATATTCCCCTAGGCCAGTGGTTCTCAACCTTTTTAATGCCGCGACCCCAACCGGTCGTAAGTCGAGGACTAAACCGGTCGTAAGTCGAGGACTAAACCGGTCGTAAGTCGAGGACTTTCCCTGCCCGGGAGCGCCACGCATGCGTGGTTCCGCCCCCTGCGCCGGCCGAGGCATAGCTGGCAAGCGGCAGAGACGGAGCAGGCCGACCACCAGCTGGCCCAGCCCAAGGGAGGTAAGGCACCCGCCGGAAAAGGGGAAAAATGGCGGACAAAAAAAATGGCAGACAGCCTTGCTTGGCGACCCCCATGAAATGGTCGATTGACCCCAAATGGGGTCCCGACCCACAGGTTGAGAACCACTGCCCTAGGCAGAGGTCATTTATAGTCTGGGTTCTTTAGGACCTACAATTTTGTATGAAGAGCAAGTAGAGGCAATGACTAGGAGACTGTTGTACAGCACTATCTTGTGCATCACTTACTATCATTTCTAACTTGGGAGGCTTTGACAACAATTACCTATGCTTTTTTCATGTTTGGAGAACTTGCTGTACATCAGACTGTTCTTAAGAAGCTACAGTTGGTTCAGAATGCAGTGGGTTGAGTATCAATGTGTGTGCTGTGTTTCACCCATGTTACACCATTACTTTGCGAGCTATGCTAGTTCCTGGCAGGTTGCTGGGTGGAATTGAAGTTGTTAGACATATGGTCCTTTATGGTTCAGGACATGCATTTGTGTGGGACTGCCTTTTCTGCTGGAATGTACCCATCCGTTAAGGTAGAAAAGGCTTGCTCAAGATCCCATCCCACTGATTTCAGGGAGTCTGAGAATGAGTCCTATGTGTTAGGCCACCTCCTCTGGAAGAGCCAACTCCTAGAGACAAGGGTTGCAGCATGCCAACAACCAGTCCGCAAAAACAAGCTAAGCCCCATCCGTGGGATGCAGGCAGCATACAAAACCACGCCACGCCCCCCCGGTCTGCGGAAAAACCTTTCTCCACGGAACCGGTCCCTGGTGTCCAAAAGATTGGGGACCTCTGTTCTAAAGAGCCTTTGGGAAAACTACTGTAGATACTTTAATGACTACTAAAAAAGTAGCATTGAGGTGTGTTTGGATTAGTATTGTTACAATGCCTGTCAAGTTTAATTTATTCCTAGTTCATGGAATTTGACAGCTAGATACTTGGCTAAAAAGACTCATATTGCAACATTGGAAAGATAAATGTATGGCCCCATTTATTCAATGGATTGAAAATTTGATTACACTTATTATGTATAAGCATACTGCATAAAGATGTAAAGTTTGTATATAATGAAATATTTTATTTATTTATTTATATTTATTTATTTATTTATTTAATTTATATGCCACCCATCTCACTGTCGAGAGATTCTGGGTGGCTTACAAACATCGTGAAAACAAAAGTACAAGACATTAAAAGATGAAATATTAAAAGGAACAGAGATTAAATAAGTTAAAAAAAATACTACTGGGCGGAGGTGGGATCTTCTTTTTAGTCCACTAACCAACATTCCTCCAATATGGAATGTCCTCACTGGGCCCAGTCAACAGAGCCAGGTTTTGAGACTCTTACAGAAGGCCAAGAGGGTGAGAGTGGACCTCATCTCAAGGGGCATGGTTTTTCCAAGTGGAGGGAACCACAGCAGAAAAGGCCCTTCTCCTGGACCTCGCTAGGTAGAATTCCTTGACCACAGCATGGGATCCACAGCATGTTCCTTCTGCCGGAATGAGTGGGGCAGTCCAATACTACTGAAGTGATATGGTTCCTCAGTAGCTTGGACCGACACCATAAAGGGCTTTAAAGGTCATAACCAATACCTTCAATTGGACCTGGAAACAGACCAGCAACCAGTGCAGCTTGTGCAACAATGGTGTTACATAGGTCACTCTAGAGCTCCCTAGAACCGCTTGGATGGCTGCATTTTGCACAATCTGTAGCTTTTGTATACTCTTCAGGGATAGCCCCATGGGACTTTTTTAATACAAAAATATACAATAAGTTAAAAACATAACCATATAAGTGTTTATATTCCATTTTGATTGATTTAAATATATCCTGGCTTCCTTGAAGATGTTAAGAAAAAGTCTCGTGCCTTACTAATAGCACTTCTTTATAATTCCAAAAGTTGTCGGGGGGTGAAGCTCATGCCTTCATTTGCCAGGGAAACATGGAATATAGGGCAAGGCAAAACTCATTGATTCTTTCTCTCATGCTCCCAGTCCCCAGTGAGATATATGAGGGCAGCTGGATCAATGGATATCATCTGTGAGAAACTGGGATAAGGAGCTTAACAAATTTGTGATTTGATGCGATGGTTAATAAGGGGCTGTATTAATTTTGTTGCTTCAGTCATTTATTGCTATAAAATATTTCTGATAAGGGGTGGTCGCCAATTACTAAAAATCCTGTTGCTTTGTAGCTCTCCTGCCTTGTGCTGTCTTCTGCCAAAGGTCCGGTATGCTTCTGTCAGAAACAGTTCTGTTTAATTATCCATTCTTTTTTTCAGCAGAAGCCAGAAGGCTGACACTGGACTGGCTCAGCCTAGATATATACCCCACCAGTAACCTAAAGCAAAAGCAAAACCTTTTACAAACATACTGCAGTAACATTTCCAGATCGGTCAGAATCTGATCTCTAGCCCCATAAAGCACAGACTCACACTAGCAGACCTGCCTCATTTTCCATTGCACCCACTGAGACATCCATCCTTCTCAGCTCAACAAGGAGGTGTTGACGTGTTAGACATAAGACCTGTCCAGTTGCATTTGAAGCCGAGGCATAATCTTTGTACTTTGTTCTATTAACCACAAGCAAATTCTTATTAGATTCATTCTTAGCCCTATGTTATTCTATATGCAAACTCCTCATGTGGCGCTTTTTTTTTTGTTTGGTTCCATATGTTCTGTCTATCCAGGCATTGTATATAGTTAAGGTTTAGCAACCATCTATGATTAAATAAACAATAGTGTAATGTTTGTCTTCAGTCCACTTTCCAGTCTATATTTGGAAAGTGCTTTTGTGTTTTCCCAGCAAATAGTCGAACCTATGCTTTCAGATCAATCTTACCTGGATACCATTTTGGATGTTTCTTTTTTTTGGAATGAGAGATGGCTATTGTTAATCTCAAGCATTCTCATTGAAATTAATGGGTTTTACAGCCAGAGGATAGAGACAAGTCTCTGCCTCCAACAGAGACTTCATGCATTGTGTACAATCCAGGTGAAATGGCTTAGAAACTGTACCTCCCCATAGCTATATCTCTCCAGTGTTTCATCCGAAGTGTATCTGTGATAAGGCTCATAAGAAATGAGGTCAGGGCGTTGCACCTCGTAGATGGCTTTAATCTTGGGAAGAGCAGCCAAATCTTTGTAATTAAGGATTTCATTATCCACTTTAGCCTATGGAAAGGGAAAGATATCATAGACAACCACAGAAAGAAAAAAGGAACAGGCACTTGAAACGCAGAGGAGAAAGCAAGGTTGAAGAAAGCTTCAGAGCAAACAGGGACAGATACTTACGATGAAGGTGAAAAGAAGAAAGGAAGGAATTTTGAAGGGAATGCCAGGGCTATCCCTGTGTAGATGAAGCAACAGTGGGAAGGAGCAGTTGGCTCAGGATTGAAAGTGGTGCCAGGCTTTGCTTTGACTACATGCATCTGAATTCCTCTGTAAAACAGATGATGCTCAAAGGCACAGTGTGGCATTAAGCAGACAGATATTCAGGGATGGGAACAGACAACTCAGGCTGAACTTGCCAGATGCTTTCCTTGGCACATATTTGGCTTGGAAATCTGTTCCAAATCTGAAGGGGAACAGTCCTCAATAGATATTTTATTTTATCGGTTGATCTCTTCTTTTCATCTCGTCTAGGATTCACAGGGCATGCACTTCCAAACAACTCCCATGGGAGCTGCCAACCTCAATTCTTGGTTTTCCGTGTTGCTTCTGCCCCATGTTGTGTATACTTACACAAATGACTCGGTTGGGAGAACCAATGCTGGAGCCAGGAGGGGATATGGATGTCTCTGAAGTTCTTCTGTGCTGTGTACACAAAAACCGACAAGTTACTTGTTAAAATTTCCTAGACTTTGCTTACACGTAGTACTGAAGAAAAATTTCAAGCCATGCTGATCAGAGTTGCCAATATAGTAATGGCAGAAAAATCACATACCTGCACCTATTCCTTCTGTTCAAAAAGCCTTAATCCCAATATATTTGGCTGCACTTTGCTACTTGCCACTCTAGGCTGCTAGCTCACTTTCTCATTCCATGCATATCATGAACTCTATTTCAAAATTAAATGTTACAGCCAATGCTATTAGTTACTACACCTTACATCTCCCTCAATTACTTTCAATTAAAGCTAGTATGCTAGAGGGCCTAACAAGAAATTATAGTGTAAATGAGCCTTTCATCAACTTTCCTTTTGCAGTATGTTACTTTCCAGTAACGTTTGGTAAAAACCAATCATTTGGCACCTGTGCTCTCCAGTTCATTGCATGACGTTGGCAACCACTCAGTATAATGAAGAAATGTCACTTGCTTTCTTTCCTAGACGCTATTGAGGAGGTACAGTACAGGTAGTCCTCGGTGTACGACCTCAACGGAGCCCAATTTTTCTGTTGTTAAGTGAGACATTTGTTAAGTGAGTTTTGCCCCATTTTACGACTTTTCTTGCCACAGTTGTTAAGTGAATCGCTGCAGCTGATAAGTTAGTAACCTGGTTGTTAAATGAATCTGGCTTCCCCATTGATTTTGCTTGCCAGAAGTTTGCAAAAGGGCATCACATGACTCTGGGACACAGCAAAGGTCATAAATATGAACCAGTTGCCAAGCATCTGAATTTTGATCACGTGATCGTGGGGATGCTGCAAAGATTGTAACTATGAAAAACGGTCATAAGTCACATTTTTCAGTGCCGTTGTAACTTTGAACGGTCACTAAATGAACTGTTGTAAGTTGAGGACTACCTGTACAGAATGAGGTGTTTGTGTATGAAACTGAAACAGCTATGCATCTTCTGTAATGTATAGTTGTGTCCTGAGTCTCCCTGGCAATTGTCTCCAGTTTTCCCCGATGACTGACTAGATTGGCTATATACAGATCTACTTTATGGGCTTGGATAGAAAGATGGCAGCTGTACAATGTTATATAGAAAAGTAATTTGCAGCTTGGACAGAAAATGAGGTTACCATAGCTACACTG